AATTGTGCTTCACTTTATTGCATTTCACAGATACTAAGATTTTAGCAATTTAAGGTTTGTGGTAGACTTCAAACAACCATGCATCTACTGGCATCATTTTCCCAACAGTGGTGAGCCATTCAGGGTGCAATATAGCACCGATGAAACATACAACTTTCCTCTAGTTCTTTAATACTCCGCCCCTCCCAACCCTGCCACTATCATGACCCCAATTCTACCTTACAAATCTGGGTAGACCAGAGCATGTACACTGGTACAAATAAAGAGTTCACAACACAGGGAATCCAGGACAGATAAACCCCTCAAGACCAGTAATGAAAGTAGCAATACCAGGAGGGTAGAGGGAAGGTGGGAGAGAAAGGAGGAACTGATCACAATGATCGACATATAATCTTATAGCCCAGCCCCAGGGATGGACAACAGAAAAGTGGGTGAAGGGAGACATCGGTCAGTGTACGACATGAAAAGGGCTCAAGTAGAAAGAAAATATTTTGAAGATGATGATGGCAACGTATGTACAAATGTGCTTGACACAATGGATGGATGGATGGATTGTGCTAAGAGCTGTAAGAGCCCCCAATAAAATTATTTTTAAAAAATTATGTTCATCATTTACTCAACCAGATCTCAATACTGTATCATTGCTTATGTTCAGTGACATCTATCTGGTGGCTAAAACCTTCAACAGAAACTATTGAACTAAAAAACGTCAACAGCAAAAAAAGTAACCATTTTTATGGAGTCCCACCATAAAGTTTACAAGTCCCAAACAGTTAAGTCCTCAAATATTCTTTAGTAGTTCATCTTCTTTCAAGAAAAAATACTGCATACAAAATGTATTAGTGAGTACCAGAGTGGGAGGAAGAGGGAAAGAGGGACTCATTGTTTAAGAAGTACTGAGTTTCTGTTTAAGGAGCCCTGCCAGTGTACCGGATTAAGCATTAAAGTTTCTAACTGCAAGCCTGGTGATTCAAACCCACTAACTGCTGCACAGGGAAAGATGAGACTTTTCCTGTATAAATTTGTGGACTTAGAAACCCTGTGGGCCGGTTCTACTGCAGTCTACAGAGTTGCTATGAAGAACTGACTCGACAGCAGTGGTCTGGTTTTGTTTGGGAAGTTCTGCTTAGAATAGTAGAAAATTTGGCAATGGAATTGTGATTGTTGCACAACATGATTAAAGTTTCTGATGTACCAAAATTGTACACATGAAAAACTTTAACTTGTCAAATGCTGTGTTTTACAACAATTTTTTTTCAGTAGAAAAGAACACAATATAAAACTTTTTTTTTAATGGTTTTTTTTTTTAATCAATTTATTGGGGCTCATACAATTCATCACAATACATAGACAATATAAAACTTTTAAACATTTTCTAAAATTTTTTCCTCAAACTGATTTACCAGTATCATTTTCTGTTATTCTTCTCTATAACCCCACCAATTAGAAAAGTCCCATCCATCAGTACTTCTTCCCAAATCCACGAGACTCCCTGGAGAATGTAGACCTTTAACCATCCCTATTTCAAGAGTTCTATCTCCTCTCCTGCACAGCCAAAGCTCACCAATCCAAAACACACACCTCAAGTCCACATCCTTCAGGAATCCTCCCCAACTACATCCTTAACGTTTAAACCCTCTCAGCTGCCTTAGAACAGTTCTCACAAGCACAGCAAATGTCTTTATACTAAAAAGATCTAATAGGCTGGGGGGCCTATTAGCTTCATAGTCCTACTTAGAAATACAAATTCCTGGAGTTTTATTTCACATTTTATTGGTATCCCTACAAAGCTCAACAAATAGGACATATATCCAAATATCTGCTGCTAGCAAGTTCTATTCATGAATTATATAAAGTCAAATCTTATTTAAAGTGGGTTTATAAATCTAAGCTCCATGAAGATGAGAGCTATGGCTCTACCTTAGACAATGTTCTATCCCTGGTACCTTATGCAGTACCTGGGGGCTCAAGAAAAATTTGCTAAATTTTTGTAATCTTAAGAAATAAAATAATTATTACAAACTAACAAAAAAATCAGTTCAAGGACGAAGAAAACATTTTTTACATCATGTCCACATGATAATATGCTTCTAATGCTTTCCGTTTTACACTATTAACACAATTGGATTTGCTTCATCTTTATGCCCAAGCATGTTAGGGATACACATCTTTTATTTTCACCTAGCCATCATTTTCCCGCTTCCCCTCACTATCCCCAGGAGCACATTTTAAAATCAGATGGACAATCCTCAAAGCAGCATTAAGAACAAGACGCCAACCAGAAAAGAGTTCATGTGCATTAAGGAAGGGGTTTTTTCTAGGTAATGCCAGTGATTTGAGGGTTTGAGTTGATGTAAAAGGAGGTTTAGTACAGTGGTCGGGATTTTTTATTATTATTATTATTGTTGTTGTTGT